GCCCGCGGCCGCGTCCCCGCCCCTCCGGGCCGCGTGGGTGGTGCGTGCTCCTGGCGTCCGGGTCCCGGCCCGGGTTCGGTGTTCACGCCCGCCTGTTTTTCCCTTTAGTGTTAAAGGACATATATGGTTCGTGTGTGTGTGTGTGTGTGTGTGTAGGGGGTGGTTTGAGTTGGGAGCGGGATGAGCCTCTGGCTTTGGGGCAACAGTCTAGTACAACCGGGTTCTTTTTATGAATGGGGAAACTGAGGCCCAGAGAGGAAAGGCGAGCTGCCCAAGTTTAGGAAGCTAAAGGTCCAGGTTCTCCCATCGCTGTCTTTTGAGCTCTCTATGCTATGCTGTGCTGTTTTGTATTGTAATTTATATCACGTTGTTCCCAGAGAAGAATTAATCCTGGTTTAAGAGGATACTGGAAATTCTTTGAGATTGTGGCTATAGAAGAGAAGAACAAAAGCAATTATATAATTTCAGCCTAAGGCTTTATACTTCTGACTCATTATTGGAAACGTTTGGGTGGGCAGCTGAAATTTGGATATGGCTAAAAATTGTATTTGTTTCTAAAATAATTTTACTTCAAAATATTCTTTTTAAAAAGATTTTACTTATTTATTTCAGACAGAAAGAGAGAGATAGAGAAAGCACACACAAGGGATGGGGGGGCAGGCGGAGAGGGGGAAGAGGCAGAGCAAGGAGCCCAACGTGGGGCTGGATCCCCAGGACCCTGAGATCATGACCTGAGCCTAAGGCAGATGCTTAACCACTTATCCTGCTTAACCGAATGACTGAGCCACCCAGGCGCCCCTACTTCTAAATATCCTTTATGTTGCTAATTGCAGCCCGTTATAATCACACGCAATAGGAAATAAAGCAAATGTTCCACAAGAGGAGATGGGTTAAATAAACTATGGTATACTTATTCAGTGGACTGCTCTGCAGCATATAAAAATTATTTTGCAGGAAAAAATGGCATAGAAAGTTGTTTATAAAAAAATTTAAATAACTTAAAAGAAATGTTGCTTATGATCCAGAGAAGAAAATCTGGCAACAAACTGCGTAAGTTAGACACATTCCAAATGAGAATGTAAGTCCAATAAGTTAGGGAGTGTCCATCTTTACTGTGTCCCCAGCACAGTGTTTGGTATGATATAAGTGCTTAAGTAAATAAATGCAAGTGTATACAAAATGATTCCATTAGAAAAATATATGTTATGCATAGAAAAACTCTAAGAATATGCATTAAAATGTTAACTATTTAATTCTGAGTGGATTTTTTTTGCCAATTGGTATTTTTAATTTTTATATTGAAATTGTATTTCTTTTGTAATCAGAAAACAATAAAAGTATGTTAAAAATATATCTTTTCATAGATTTTCCAGAGTAGTCCCTATAAAATATCCTGTTTCTATATTTAGGCAGTTTACAGAGCTGGCTGGCTTTTTCTTAAATCTTGGAAAGCAGCTTATTTTCTGAAATCCTCACATTTTATCCAAGCTTATCCCTCGGTGAACAATCACACACAGTCTGTTCTGGATTGTGATCAGTAAATGAAGTGAAAATCAAAATGAGGTAACTATGATATGCTGTCACTCACACATTTCTCAGGTAACTGTGATTTCATTCTTTTTGAAATAATGGAACCAGAAGCCTTGGTGCTCCCTGGTAGAAATCAAGCTCACAGGAACAGTTCTCTCCTTACAGTCTTCACAAACCACAAATTTGAGGAGATGAAAACTGGCCAAAATCCCAGAGGCTCATTCCGAATGCTCTAGTAATTCTCTTGAGCAGTAAACATAGTTTAGACATTACTGAAGAATGCAGAGACCATTTCTAGACATTAACAGAAGTTACATTTGATTGGCCAACAATTGTGCATTAATACTCCTCAGGAGGAATGCCGAGTGTATGAGTAGTGTGGTGGAGACCCATTCTTCTAGCCTAGATTGCCAAATGCATTCAGATACATTTGATTTGAAATTGGGAAGCGAATATGCCCAGGGGAAGCTTTAAACATCCTGAATGGTAGAGTTCAAAGTGGAAGAAAAACAGTCATATCTGAAGAACCAGAGAGTTAGAAGAACAGAATTGTGTACATTTGTTCTGTTCATTTGTAGATTTGTCTGTTGGTTTGTTTTTTTTTAACATCAGTTGTATACAGAGTATGTCAGAATCAGAAATATTAACACGACTGTAGTAACCTGCTCAACTAATAGCTACAAATTCTCAAAGAACCCACCTAGGATATTAACCTGTTCCATATTTTGAAAATATAATCCTACAAAATTACTATTCCTTTTAAGTCAGGCTTAAAAACTATTAAATAGTTTTAAAATGTATTTATGGTCTATCTACAATTATATGGAGAAGGGCTTTAATAAATTATATTAGCTCAATTTCGGACAGTTTCCTAGAAAAATATAATCCTTGAAAAGTTTTGAAAGAATTGTCGAATTTGTGTTAAGAAAATAGAGTGAAGTATCCCAGATACTTAGCCTGCCTATGAGGGAAGTTATGGTAGAGATGGAATTTGCCTTTAAATCTTTTGTACCAAAAAAGAAAATAAGTTTCTAGAACATTATGTCATTCACAGCAGAGAACCAAAATCAATGTTATTGGTAAATAAGCAGGAAGTTACTTGTCTCTACACCTGGCACGAAGTAATTCAAATGGTTTTGGTTTACTTAATGGTGAGATAAATGGCAACACACTAAAAGTAACACACCGTTTAATTTATTTCCCTTAATTCAATGCCAGAAATCAAAATAGGAAGGGGACTATATCATACTTCCTACTGAGGGCTGATCTCTACGTGGAATCTTTTTCACAAAATACTTAACACGACAGCATGCACACTGCTAGTCTACAAAATGAATACTGATCATTGGAGGTTTTTCTACTTAACAAACATTTATTTAATACCCACTTGACCTGATTTACTTGGTTCAACCAAAGTTACTATGGGATTACTATAGGATACATAAATTTCATTCAATTTTTCACTCAATGCCAGGTCTGGAAGCATCTTTAGTTGCTTATAAATTGAGAGTCCATCCCTTCATGGATGTTCTTTTCTTTTGGTATCCCCTTTTCAGAACTCAGACAGTACAGTGGACAAACCTCTATTTTTACAGCTATTGCATTTATTATTTATGATAGCTCTCACTTCCTGATAGGCTGTGTACTCACCAACAGCAGGAATGTCATCTTGTATTTTTTTTTTTTTTTTTTACTAAATAGCACCTAATAAAGTGCCTGGCACATGTAGGAGATCAACAAACATTTGGTGACTATAGTAACTAATTAATTAAATGCCTCCCAAAAGCTATAAAAGTTATAACTCAACTACAAAATACAAGATTCTCTTATTGAAGATTGATGTATTAACTTAACATTAGGATAGGAACAAAGTTTAGATTTTCTGCTCTTGGAGTCAATAGTATATGAAACATAATAGTGAAATAAGACAAAAGACGTGGTTGGAGATGGATAGGGAGGCTCTTCATGTGCATCTCAGTTGTGTGAGTATCCATGGTACCATCTTGATGCTGATGTTCTTCCTTACAAGGGTTCAACTCTGTTAGGTAATCTGGTACTTGACTAGCTCTAAGGAATAAATGTTTCTTAAATTATTGTCATAGCTTTATTCCTTAGGTAAGTACAAAAAGCTTACATTTAGAAAGTAAGGAGGGTCTAGGAGAAGTAATCACAAAGTCCTTCCCTATGGGAATTGTTTTTCTGCCATATGCATGTCTGTGACTCATGTATGGAGTTAAATTCTCCTGGGACCTTAAACTCTTTCCTAGATGTAAATCAGTCAACTTTCAAATCTTCTGTAGGCCAGGAGAGGTGACTGACTGACTCCCAGTTTAGTCTAGTACTGTCCAACTGATAATCAAGAGTTGTTTGTTGCTGTTACTGTTTTTAACATAATCTGATTCCAAAACAACCATTATACATTGGGAATTCCTCCTCACATGTATATACCCCAGTAAAACAAATTAAATATAATATACACAATGGGAAAGAAAATCCTTGAATAGGTGTCAATGACATGGTTATTCTCCAGAATGATTCTACCAACACGCCCTCCTAAGGACTGCCTTCTCTTTATCTGAGATGAGTCTGTGCTGGGGCTGTCTGTGGATCTTTCTTGTATGGAGTCCTCTTCTGAGTGTAGAGAAAAGGAAGTCTGGTCCATTTCAGTCTTGTTGTCATGGTAACAACCATCGAAGGCCATGGCTTGAAGTATCAATATTATACATTCCAGAAAGCTGACAAAAAGACTTTTGTTAGTAAGTCATGAATATGGTTCTGTATGTAGGAATTACAGTAAAAGTCTAAACAATCAGATTTTTAAAATAGTTTCAAGAAATGCTAAGAATGTTTTGCTTATTTTAAAGAATAGAATTCTGGTTTTGCTTTTGGTACCTGACTAAAAATCATTTTAATAATAAATGGAAAACATCATCATAGAGATTTGTTTTTAATAGGGATTTAGCAAGGTTTATTATTATCTCCATAGAGATATTTGAACATTATACAAATAAATGTTTCACAATTATAATGTCATTGTCTTCTAATTTAGTTCTGGCCTGATAGACTGGAACACTCAAATGCATGTTTCCCCAGAAAGGAACAGTTTCAGGTTTCCCCTTTGTTTCTGAGTAGTATGAGTTGTTTGCCATAATGTTGAGTTGAAACTGAATATGATTTATCAGAAGAGCAATATAAGCCAATTGGATTTGCTTTTCAACATATTTTCCTCTTTAGAGAAAACATAGCAATACACCCAGTCAGTGTGGGGTTCAAAACCAGAACAACATCATCCGGTGATCCATTTATGCTTAAATTTGGAGTAAGGGTAGGAAATGATTTCAGCTGCTCTTTTTAAGTGCAAATTGGCCAAGTCTTCCTATTTTTGCTGGGAAGTACGTATAAATGATGCCAACATATCCCAATTAAACAACTTGAAATTGGCTTATTTTTCAGAAGGAGAGAATTATCAATGCTTTCTGGCTCCAGTGCCTGATTGAATCTAAACTACCATTTTTCTTTAAGGTTTTACTTTGAGGGAGATAGTAGTTCTTGCTGATACAGAACAGTGTCTATGAAGCAGCTGTTACTAATTTCTTTCTGAGAAAACAAAATCACTTCTTGATCTATAGTAAAGTAAGAAAACAAACAAATATGAACAGGCTACCATGGGATGAAATTATTTAGAATTCAAATTGGAGGCTACAGAGTAAATTCTGCCAAAACACGTATTTGGTTCATAGCAATTAAAAAACCTAATATTCTACTGAATTCAAGAGACATAGAGAATATTTTATGTCTTCAGTAAACTAACCAAAGACCCATACTCAAGTTATGTTGTCCTTTTTTGTTTTAGCTTTAGAAACTTTTCATAGTAAAATGAAAATGGATCATACAAACATGAAATAGATCAAGACTCAAAAACTAACCTCAGATAGCCAAAAATAACATTAATAATATATTCAACTCTGGATCTGAGGGTAGAATAACTAATACAGTCTCTTCAGTGGTTTCATTATAGCCACCCAGAACACTGTTGGCTTATCCCACTGAACATGATGATAATTTAGAACCATTTATATAACTGATGAAATCTTGCAGTATACAATTTACCAGTAGGGTGCTAATTTCCTTCTAGTAAAAACAGTTTTAGAATGGGTCTTTAATTTTTCACACTAGTCTACAAATAAGCACATACCCAAGGTATCCTATATCTAAAGTAGAGATTTGACTGTTTTATATTAAGTTCTAAGTCCTGGAAGTAGGAATACATTTGGATGAAGGTATAAGAAAGAAAATAACTTCCTTTCTCCTTTCTGGGCAAACGTCAACACTAGGGATGATTTTTCCATGGCCCTTGATGTTCTCCCAGCTCTTGGCATCCAGGGGGGGTTGGGACAGGGGTGTGATGGTGACAGTGGTAGGTAATGAGCTTTGCTTAACTTCATAGGGAGGAACTCCATACCCTAACGTTCCTGGTCTTTCTCATTATTCCTCCATTACTCCACCATAGAGATTTGGGAGAAGGAACTAGCACGTGTGGTTCAGTTCCTTTTGAGTCCTCACTTTGTGATCTGCATTGGTATCCAAGTCTGTCCTCTGAAATGAGGTAAAAGGAGACTGTCTTCACAGGGAGAGTCCTGAATTGTCTAGCTTCACCAGTGACCAAAAGAGTATGTTTAGTACAATGACGAATTATTAGTGAGCCCGCCTGCTCACATATCTAAGGCACTTACTCCCAACTGCTTATCAACAACAAAGGTGACATCATCCTATCTATCCTTCTTGTCCCCACATCTTTCTCTCTCTAAAACTCAGGTATAGAGGAAAGAAGTATCACCGGTTATCCCCCGAACCTATAGACATGTCCTTCTACCCTGTGCCTCACCAGGGCATCCTACCCCTTTAACCATTTCTCATCTCAAACAGCCTGTCCCACTATCCTTGTTGAAACTACTATTCTTTCAGAGCCTCTGTCCTGGGCACTAATCACAATAAGAACTTAACATTTGTGTAGCATTTTATAGCTTGCAAAAGTTTCAGACCCATTTATTACACTATTTACAATAGCCATGTCAGATGAATAGGAGAGAAATGCCAACATTCTGAAAATTACAAATGATGTTTAGGAGACAACCCAAAACGCAGAGCTAGGAAGTGGTGGAGTAGGTTTGGCATCATTTCTTCAGACCCCAAATCTTATGGTCTGTCATTTCACCCCATAAATATAGGAATGGCAGGTAGGACATTTCTTTGAGATCATTGCGCCTTTGAAGGAGGTGGTTTCCGGAGGCTGGTGAAAGGGAAAATGGGGAGCTGTGTAATGGGCACAGTGTTTCAGTTTTGTAAGATGAAGAAGTCCTGGAGATTCCTTGCACAACCAGGTGAATATTCTTAACACTACTGAACTGTACACTTACAAACAGTTAAGATGGCAAGTTCTACGTTATATGGATTTTACCCCAATAAAAAAATTTTTAAAAAACATATGATGCTTATTAACTCAAAAGATTCTCTCCTTAGTGTTACACAAGAAGAGTGTGTACAAACCCATCTAGTGAGAAAGAAAATTCAGTAGTGTGAACACATGTGTTGTGTGGCGGGTGGGGGTGGGGAGATGTAAACAAGTTTGGAGTCAAAAGACTAGATAGAGGTGGGCCGGGATTACGACAGTGCCTCTTTCTTGGGTTAACCATTTCCCACATAAAAATAAAACAGAACAACAACCAAATTAATTTCCTCATCACACATTTTTTTCTCTGTCATCTTTCACTTCACAGATTATCTAAATCATTACTATTCACAGTGTGGGTAATGGACCAACAGCATCTGGGGGCTTGTTAGAAATGCAGACTCACTGATCCCATACCCCAGAACTACTGAACGAAAATCTAACAAATCCCAGGTGATGTGTACACTACCCATTACCACATACTTGTCTAAAAGCTCCTGGTTTCCTCACACCCACCTAGCAGTCACTGTGGGTATGCATGTGGCAGGGACACTTACTCACATGTTGTCAACAAAAGAAATGGAAGCATCAGCAAAAAAGCAAAATCAGCTCCTATTACAGCTTTGACTCAAAGGATATATAATAGAAGAATAAAGGAGCATTACAGGAGATCTGAATTGTAATTGCATCTCTGTTGGCTGTGAATCTTTTGGCAAATCACTTTCCTTCACTAAAACTCTGCTGCTTCATTTTAAAAATAGAGATAATAATCTCCGTAAGGTCTACCTCATGGAGCTGATATGAAGGTTCAATTTGAAAAGAGGATATAAAACATCTGAAAAGTAAGAAATGCTCTGATTACAAGTGTAACAAATATTAAATAATGTTTGGGTCATGTATAATTGTGCATGTAAGAATTTCTTAAACCAATGTAAATATATTATATTAAAATTATGTGCACACACACATATAGTCTTAAGTGTAGGCTAGCAAACAAATTGATATGATCAATTAGGTTTCTGAAGTATAATATCTTATGTCATTTCTCACAACGGCAACGAACTGGCACCCCAGTCCTTTGTGAAATGAAGCAGGTAGATATCAATCTATCCATATTTATTAAACAATGGCACAAGAAACATGTGATGACATTTAGAACCCAGAAGGCACCTTTTATTCCCAGTATACTGTGGAGAGAAGAACCTCTCTTTATGTTCTCTCACTCCTTCAAGTGACAAGAAGAGAAACATAAATCCTAGTTCTGGTAGAGAAATATATCATTTATGGATTGAGAGCATAACCACTGGAGTCAGGGAGAGCCAGAAACCAATCCTGATTCCTCTTAGGCTATGTGACCTTGGCCGAGTTACTCCGTATCTGCTCCTATTTTACCTCTGCAAAATGAAGGTGATAAAGAACCGACCTCTTGGGGTTGCTCAGAATTAAATGACATACTTTATGGTATGTGGTTAGTATAATACCAGTACATAATAAACACACATTAGCTAGTCTCATCACTGTCGTCATCATCATCATCACCTACTTGAAAGGGTATAGTTTGTACATCAACCCTTCCTTTTCAAAGGATAGAGTCCGTGGAGGGAGCACACTGAGAGAAATCACGAAAAGACTCCTGGCAAAGGTGAGTAAGGATGCTGAGGAAACCAGCCAGCACAGACAGAATAAGGTTCACTATTAAATCCTGTACATTGCATCTGGCCAAGGCATAGAGACTTACTACAAGGACTTATGACACTCAGGAGAGGATTATAGGTAAGGATAGTCTTTTTCACATTCCAGAAGGGATCCATGAGTTAAGCCAGGCAGTACCTTCCCTGTCTTGTTGAATTGTTCTCGCTCTTCCACAGTGGTGAGGTAGTTCACAGCTGCATACTCAATGACTGACAGGAACACAAATAGGGAGCTGACCCACAGGTATACGTCCACGGCCTTGATGTAGGACACTTGGGTCATGGAAGCACTCATGCCAGAGATGATGGTGGACATGGTCAGCACCGTGGTGATTCCTGCCATTGGAGAATAGGGACGAGCTCAGTGACATAACCATTCCGTTCTGGGATCAGGTGCTGGATTACACCAGGGGATGTATTTGCTCACAATATCTGGTGAGCAAAGTTGGGAGTGGGGGAGGAAACCCAGCCCATTACCCTTGTACACATCATGAGCCTAAGCAAGAAGCTCTCCTTGGATCTGTCTTTCCATCTTTTTCTTGCCCTTACCCCAACTGTCCATAGCGTTTCCATCCTTCCATCGAAAGACTTCACAGACTCATACATATCTCTAAGGATACATTTCTTTGCCCTCCGATGGGCCTCTTTAAACCATCCCAGAAAGGTAAAAAATGTGTTCAATTCTAAAAGTCCTCTGGGAAATAAATTCTAAAACCATTCCTACTACCCTTTCCCATCATTTTACACTTTTCCTTTTAAAGAAATTGTCTTCAAGTCAGTCTTTTATCTTTCATTCATCAGGGAGTGGTCTTGTCATTTTCCATATTTTTCTTTCATATAGAATACTTACGAGCCATCAGTGTTGCTATTACTTTGTCCCTTGTTACTGAAACTATAGTTCAATTGAGATTTAGAATGGAAGTGTATGGTGGAGGCTCAGTTCAGTGTAAATACTTACTATGCACTTGTGAAATGCCAGTTACTCTCCCCTTCCCCCTTCCCTCCTATCCCCTCCCCCCTCCTTGTTTCCTTCCTTTCCTTTCCTTTATTCTCTGGCATAAGCATCAGAAGTGATGAGATCAAGGTTCTGGGGGACAATGGAGAAAGACTGACTCTGAGATTTCCTTAATAAAATGCTGGCCTAGGGGAGGGCTAGTCTGTGTCTGCACTAATTTCTCAGAGGGATGATGTGAGAGTGTTGCCTGGAAAGTACAGTATTGTAAATATTTGAAATGCACACTAGCTGGCATGGCTTTATTTCCTAACTTCCCACCAGGGAGGCAGAAATGGAGTCCTTAATGATTTTTATAAGTTGTGAGGACATTTTAATGTCAACAGACGGAGTCCCAAACAGCAGGAAGAGCACCGTGATTTACTCCTAAATGTACAGACACAGCATGTGGACAGCTTTCACCAACACATTTCTACCCTTTCGACAATAATTCTTCAAGGTTCTCCTCTGAGGGAGCCCGTATCAAAGACAATGACAAATCTACAGAGCTATTCAATTTCAAATTAAGTTTTACTGTTTGTATGATCAAGACCAGACTTGGGGATTTGGCAGCCACCACAGGAGGGCCCTGGGATCTCACCTTCACACTGATTTGAACTCCAGGAGAAGTCACCTGAGTGCTATTCTAGCTCTTACCATTGAATGCAGGCCACCATCTCACTGAGTCCCGGGCTTCCCCTACGATTGAAATATCAACAGTCTGCATATCGGTGGATGCTGTTTGCAGTCCTGGCTACATAAACATGGAGATGTGAAGTTTTTATTCCCATTACAGGTGTACATGTAGCCAAAGCCAAGATTATTAAATAAAGTTTGCTTGCCTTTATTGAATGTTCACCCACCACAAACCTAGGTAAATATTATTAGCCACACGTTGCAGAAAAGAAATATGAGCTGAGAGTGGCTAAGTAACTGGCCTGAGTTTTGTCAGTAGCAGGATCGGAACCTTTCTATTTGAATGTAGAACCCAGGTTTTTTACACACAAACCAGCTGCCTCTCATTCTAGACCTATAAAGGGAATCTCTTTTTGTTCTTGAGATTATACACCAATCTCAGGGCATCTGGGTGGCTCAACTGTTGGTTGAGCATCCCACTCTTGATTTCCACTGGGGTCATGATCTCAGGGTTGTGGGCTCAAGCCCTGTCTGAGGCTCCGCATTCAGCACAGAGTCTGCTTGAGATTCTCTCCTTCTCCCTCTGCCCCTCTCCCCCTTGCTTTCATTCTCTATTTCTCTAAAATAAATAAATAAAACCTTTTTAAGAAAAGATTATAAACCAATCTCTATACATGAAGCATCCCTGAGAGAAGACACTGCAAAACTGAGGGTAGAGAGGCACCTGGGTGGCTTGGTCAGTTAAGTGTCTGGTCAGTTAACTAACTTGGTCAGTTAAGTGTCTGACTCTTGCTTTTGGCTTAAGTTGTGATCTCAGGGTCATGAGATTGAGCCTTGCCTTGGGCTTTGCACTCAATGTGGAGTCCGCTTGAGATTCTCTCCCTCTCCCTCTCCCTCTGCCCCTTCCCCACTCATGCTCTCTCTCTCTCTCTTTCTCTCAAAATAAATAAATAAGATCTTAAAAAAAATCTGAGGGTAGAATTATGTCAGGAAGCATGAAGGTATTTTGTGTTTCTCAAAAAGCTAAAAGTCTCATTCCTTTCAGGACTTCACTGGTAAAACTGAAAGAATCCTACACTGACATTCATATTTAGTATCTTTCCTTATTAGTTCAAAAAATTTTAAATGCCTTTTCTTACTGGCCCTCTAAGATAGAACTTGATTTTTTTCAATGGACAGTAACATGGGGCTTAACTGACAAAATAAGGATTTAGAACAAACACAGGAGTATATATGCCAGGCAGGTCTTGTCATGCATTTTAAATTGGTGACTATGGGGCCAGTAAAGGAAACTGCATTATCTATTTTTTGCCAGAGAGCAATAAGCTATCAGTCATTTTCCTTCAAAGGGGACTTAGTGCAGCTAATTTACTATATTTCTTTCGAAACCAGCATTTTAAATTTTGCTTGTTTAAAATGAGCAATTAAAAAAAATAGAGAGTGGGGAGGAGGGATTGTTTGAGTTTGCGCGTAAAGGATGGGAAAGCTGATATATAAATTCTTAATGCAAAAGAACTTGAGTCAGGAATATTACAGCCACTAATTAAACACACTTATGTCTTGAGCCACCCCTTAGAAATACATTAATCTTGACAAACTGTATTCCTTCCAAATCCAATAAGTTAACATCCCAGTAAAGGCATTTTAAACATATGAAGTGACCATTTAGTCAAAGAAAGGTTCTATGCTGGGATTAAAAAATTATTTTCTCACCTACCAACATTGCTATGCATGGTCAGAAAAGTGTTAGGACAAAATATTTAGTTTGGTGCATGGGACTCAACTCCCCTGAGCCCATGAAGTTTCACTATATTAACTCTTAAGGACATGTCTAGGGCCCTACAAAACCCTTTGGTCTAGGGAGAGTTACTCATCTTTGTGTTTCATTGGCCATTTTTGGCTGTGTTTGGAGAGGTTTGTTGACTGGTGTGATGGTAGTGGGGCATGTAGGCATCACTTATAGAACTACTGAGTCAGTTCATCCCTTCAGTAGCTGCGTTGTGGGCAGCTCTTTTGAAGGGATAGGTATCTACATTCGCCTTTAAATGAGTAAAAACACTTTCCCTGTAGGCCTAAGCAGAAAGAAAATACTAAGTGATGTGAGGGAAAGGAAGGTAGGCTGGATATCCTAACACCATCACTCTATGGCCAGCAACCAACGACCATTATCCCACAAAGGTGGTGCCAGAGTCCAGGGCCTAGAAGTTCTGGTAACCTCTATGATGGTTAAATGAATTGCTCCTAAGTACTTACTTGTTCAGTTCTATGGCATATTTTCTGTTAGGAGACATTTTTCTTTATCAGTGATGACATGCCTGAAAACTTTAGTTGTCTGTTTCCTGGTAAATGACCCGATGACTTAATATGTTGTACGTGAATGGCACACCCCATGCAGAGGGGCCAAATGAGAAAGATGGAGGCAAAGAAAGGAAGGACATAGAAGGAAGAGATGAAAGTACAATAGTACTCATCCTTCCATGAGGGTTAGGACACCCTTGAACAGCTTTACAATAGTCTTGCTTCCTCTCCACACCAAATCAAATGGAAAGATAGATTAGTATTTTTAACCCATCCCATATTCCAAGTTATGGTAGCTATTTTTTTTTT